ACAGAGCCATTGTTATTTTATTTGTATTACACAGACAATATTCCAGGAGCATAACTCATACTTTAGGCCTAATGGAAGAAGTTGATTTTTAACATCTTTTTTCGATGTAAAGTTTATTATTTTTGGAAAATGATTAAAATGGCTTTAATACAAGAAGAATTGAAAAACTACTATAGGCCTAATAAGCTTCCGATTGGTCTTTTATATTTGAATAATAAAAAAGCCATCCTCATTCACAACTGTAGGTCTAACTACAGTATGGTGCTATAAGGCCATTAGCAGCTTATTTGTTCCCTAATTTATAGAAAAAATTCAAAAATTCATATCGTTCTAAAAAATCCCAAGATTTTATGAAAAGTTAACAAGAAATCCCAAGATCCCAAGGTATCATTAAAAATCCCAAGATCTCGGGATAAATCCCAAACAGTGGTCACAGTGGTGTCACCAAGGAGGTTATTTTAACCTCCTTGGTGTCACCTATCACAGTCATCCTAGTACTGTATAGCCAAAATTGGCTTTTTAGGATTATCCAGTCAAGCATGAAGCATATGAGTGTGCGCGCACTGGGGTGTTTTTAAAATGAGCAAGATAATATAGGCCACAGAGCAAAGTGCGGGCCGCATGCAGCCCGTCAGCGATTTTTTTGCGGCCCGCGACAGTGAATTAAAAACCCTATGTTTGCGGCCCGGCGCCAATCAAAATTGGCTAGACACCTTGTTTTTTACGGCCCAACACCAATAATATGTAAAAAGTAACATTAAAACTGAGAATAAAGGTGATGTAAAAGCAGTGATGAGGTTTTTGGAAGCTCACTGGAACATCAAAGTTTGGGTGCGGCCCTCGGTGTTAAATCAAAAGTTCACTTTGGCCCTCGGACCGATTTTTATGCCCACCCCTGATATAGGCCATAAATAGAATAAATAGCTCAAATATCGATCACTGGGTGCTTTCCATGTTCCTATTCTTCACTGTGTGCTTCAAACGCGTTGATGCAGGCCATTAAGATCTAAAATTAAACCCTATAAAATAACAAAACACTCTCAAGATTTGTATGCTTATCCGGGATTCTTATTATCTCAGCTAAATTTGACAGAGTAGCTTAAGGGAAGTAACAACTTTATCGTATGACATGTTAAAATTGTAATGATTGCAGATTCCTGATGCATGATTTGAGACCAATAGTAAAGAAGCACATTGTTAAATCATAGAGGTAAACACAACAAAATTCAGGTTATTTTGCAATATGTCTATTTGTTGTTGTTGTTTTTTTTTTTTAATCGTCAATGACATTCGTACTAATAAAAAGTTAGTGAACCAAAGAACAAATGCTCATAAAAATACATTTCGATTGTCCTACAAAATAATGCAAGTCATAAAGGACTTACTGAACCGCCAAGCTCTGCTTTGTGCCACCAAGTTCCGTCTCTGTGAACTTCACAGGTATTTGTTTGTTGACGATTTAAATGTTTGTTTATGAAACTTACTCTTTCTTTAAAACTGGTAAACTAATGTAGACATAACCTATCATATTAATACTCAAAAGGACTACTTTTTAACATTGGGGTATCCAACATTTTGAAAAGTGAGTTTCTGAGTAAAACAGTAAAATCCGAAACTATTACAGCTCATTCATTTTTTATTTTATAATATTCTATAAAATGGAACAATTGGTGAAAAGAGGATACCACTAAGATCGAAGCTTAAAATCCGGCCCCTTCTAAATAAATAAATTTAAATATGCTAATGAATGTATAAATAAACAATCAAAATTTATAAATAAAGACAAAATAATTACAAATTATTAATTGGAACATTATCTTTTTAGTTCAACCAATTAGTTGCTTAGATTAAATTCACTGAGAATAACATTAATTATTATCAGAGTATGTTGGTAAACTGAAGAAATAACAGAAATATTGCGGCTCCTCGCATTTTGGAATAAATTGCTAGTCCACTGTTTTGTATAAAAACTCAAGCCAGTCGACTGCTTTGTTCAAAAAATCTCACAAGACACATCTGCTGTCTGTTGTTTTTGCAGTTTCATCTAGATTTAGTTTTTGTCTTGCTTGCAAACTTAATTTGTTTAGTGTGAAACCCCATTACGTGAGCACTTAATTGTGAGTTTGAATAGGCCGGCCATGTACCTCAAATTTCTTGTAAAACTAAGTGTGGTGATGTGTGTGGTGTTTTTTTTCTGGTATCGTTATTGTTTAACATGAAAATTGTTGGTTACTTCCTTCTGTAGCGCATTAAGCACTACTAACAGCAGTGCGCTTTATGTAAGTCAATAGTATGAATGAGTCATTTATAAGTATGAGTTCGATCACGGTTCGATCATTCTGGTATCGTTATTGTTTAACATGAAAATTGCTGGTTACTTCCTTCTGTAGCGCATTAAGCACTACTAACAGCAGTGCGCTTTATGTAAGTCAATAGTATGAATGAGTCATTTATAAGTATGAGTTCGATCATTGATTTTAAAATAGATTGCTCAACCAGTACAAAGACGAGCAGTGGCGTAACAGGAGGTGGGGCAGACTGCCCCCCCCCCCCC